ATTATGGATGTCTTTAGATTCCCTTCTTCTCTGCATAACTGTTACTAGGCTGACAGTTTAGAACCGAGAAGCCAACTACCAGCATTTGGGTGAATTAAAAAGCAAAGGCTCAAAAAGAGATTTTACACACACTGAAATCTGAACAAGTGTTCAATTAAGGCAAAAATGCCTATGATATTAACTTGTTTTAGGAGTATACATTGTTGCCTGTATAATAGCCATAGTACCGTCATATACTCAGTTACCTAATCAGTGTAAATAGGCTGTTTTATTGTTGCTTTTCTTCAGTTGCTTCTACATTTTGGCAATCTGATCAACATTTTGCCAAGATTGTCTGGCAGGAACTGCTTCTTGGGGTTCTCTGAGTTCATGCTTCTGTCCATTAGTGATAATACTGAATCAAATTGTCTTCTAACATCCTCTTTTTTGATTGCCTTCCATTTTTCCATAGTTCTCTTCAATGACTATTGCCTTCCCAGAGTGTTTCTAGTGAGCACTCTGTTTTTACCTCATCTGGTACTGAATGCTGAATCTTTCGGGGCTTCAAAAGTCTGTTACTCCTTCAACTTCTTCTTTGCAATTTGCACTTGCTGTTGACATAATCTTAGTTGTCGTCTCCTCTTTTAATACTGAGTGGCAAACCAGTTTTTGCACTGCCTTTTTATTACCTTCAACAAGAGAATCAGTATGTCTTCCTTGTTTCCAGCCATCACAGAGGTTATCATTATTAGCACATCTGATGTTGTTGATTCAAGTTCAATTGCAGATTCTATTTCTTCATGATATATTCTGTTTGTGTCAAATAAATATAGGAACAGTATACAGCCTTGACACTCTCCTTTCCCAATTTTGATTCATTTAGTTGGTGCATATTCTGTTCTAATTGCTTCTCTTGTTCATCATAAATATTCTTCTGTAGGCAGATAGCATGGTGCACTTTTTTAAGGCCTATCCACAATTTGTTGTGGTCTATATAATCACAAGCCTCTATATAATCCATCAAGCAAAAGTAGATGTTCTTTTGGAACTCTCTTGCCTTTTCCATTATCCACTGGTGATTTGCAATGTGATCCTGGGCGCCCCTGTCTCTTCTGAACCCAACTTGTATATCTCACAGTCCCTGTTTCAAATATTGTTGAAGTCTGGATTGCAAAATCTTGAGCATTAACTTATTAGCATGTTAGATAAACGCAACTGTTTAGTAATTTAAACATTATTTAGAACTGCACTTTTTTGGTACTGGAGTATAAATTGATCCATTCCAGTTCGATGGGCACTACTGGGTTTTCTATACTAGCTTACAACCATGAAGAGCACTATTCCTGGCAAAAGTGCTTAGAACTTTCAATGAACAATTTATTTACAACTGAAAAAGCCCCTATTCTCTTAGTGATTTGAACAGAAAATAAGAAGACAAAACAAAATATAGTTAAGGGACACTTGTTTTTTGGAAGATAGAATGCAGTTGTGTACATCAACTGAGCAGGCTGAAATCTGTGAGTAAACATGCAGAAGGCCAGGCTCACGCATAATATAATAATCAAACTGGATATCTTGGGCATTGCTCTTTTAGAAATAGTAATGAAAATATCCTTTTTACCTGTGGAAGTGGTGGTGCTGGTGTTAGACTTACATCATTTTGGCATGGAAACTCTCCTACAACAGGGCCTATTTAAGAATAATAATAAAATATTTTTAAGACTAATAAAGAACTCCACACACAAATATTAAAAGGACAAAAGAAGCGAGTTACTTCCTTGGAAATTACATATAGATGCTACAATTGTTTTATCACAGACTAACGTATGTCCGGTATCCATGTAAATCTAAGGGAGCACTAAAAGCATTGGCCCACTTTTATCACAGACTAACGTATGTCCGGTATCCATGTAAATCTAAGGGAGCACTAAAAGCATTGGCCCACTTCTGAAGTGATCAGTCACTCAGATCAACTTTGAGAAAACAAAAATTAAAGTTGGCCTGAGGCATTAAGGGGTTTTGAGCAGATGGTCTGCTTCAAATAGTTAGGTGTTGTCTT